TAGTGTGTTTGAGGTAACGTATCTTGAACTATTTGTTTCACATCTTCATTTGGGGTCATTGAAATCGGTAAGTTTTCGCGATAGAACCAATTTCTGTCAGATTTGTAAATCTTAGCAAGGTCGTAAAAGCTTTTGTTGTTTCTTCTGACTAAATGCAACATAACCATATCTCTGTCTTCTTCTTTCTCCAACTCTTCAGTATAAATCATATACTTATAACTCTTTTCCTTTCCTTTTGGTACCGAACGTGGTATTCTTTTCTGAATGCTTTTGTCTTTTGCTTCAAGCTTGTTTTCCATCTCTTCACGTTCTTGTCTATGAATTTCGTCAAGAAGTCTGTAAATATACCAAGCATAACGAGGCGAAGCCCACATTGCAACAGCATTTACAAGAAGTCTATGTACATAATATCCTCTCAAACCGTTTGGCAATTTTTCACGATTTTCATAGAGTTTTGGCGACTGGGGTTTTTTACCTACTCGCTGTTCTTCACTGTTTTCAGAAAAAAGTATGTCTCGCTGTGCTTCGCTCAAAAGTTCTTGTGTGCTTTGGTTCCTAAACCAGTCTTTAGGAAGCTTAGTATCTGGAGCATAACATGCTGTCAAAATACTTTGCATTTGGTACATATCGTCTTTGACCGAACAAATGAGACGGAGTTGTTTGTTAAACTGTATGTACTCATATTCTTCATTTATAGCTTCATGGACTATAACTGTTGTTGTGTTCTCTGTTGTTGACATTACTGTCTTTACATACAAAATAAAAAAAAATAAATAAAAATAAAACTAACTTTATTTTTTCTATCTTATGAAAATTCATGATTTTTGTGCTGAATTCAATAAAAATATATTTTAGGTGAAGCCCACATTGCAACAGCATTTACAAGAAGTCTATGTACATAATATCCTTTCAAACCAGGAGCCAAATTCTTGCGATTTTCGTACGGAATCTCTTCCCTCGGTTTTCCGAGGGAAGCAATCATATGAGGAAATTCATGATTTTTGTGCTGAATTCAATAAAAATAATGTTTAGGTGAAGAGGTGAGATTTCACCTCTTTTTTCACCTTTTTTTTCACCCCAGTTATTTTATAAACGTTTCACATGGTAAACGTTATTTTTGGAATTTTGTGAAAACTCAACGGTTTGACACATGCCCTAAAAATTATTTTACTCAGAATTTTGTTGCTGAATTCAATAAAATATATATTTAGGTGAAGAGGTGAGATTTCACCTCTTTTTTCACCTAATTTTTCACCTCTTTTTTTCACAAGCGTTTTACATGAATTGTACGATGTATATTTGAAATCCTAAACAGTTTTGTAGCTTCTATTTCTTCTTTTAGTACATCGAGTGTTTTAACAATGCCGAAAGTCTCTTTATACTTCTTCTTGACGTCAGATAATAGGAAATCGTCAGCAGTTGGATAGTTTTTGTTCAGAAATGCTAACATGTCCATTTTATCTTCTGCTGGCTTTTCTGCTTCTTTCTTTAAGTCTGCATAGTCGTTTCTCATTCTTTCTATCTCTTTGACGGAGTAGTTATATTTCCTAATTGCTGCCTTACATTTTGAACATTGCGGATTCATTTTTGCGTTATACATTGAAATAAAACCAGCTAAAACAACTAAAGCGTCAATTGCTCTCTTCATCTCAAACATAGCGGGTCTTATTTGTTTGTTCCATACTTTGCCTCTTCTATCTTTATCTCTTATTTCCCAAACACATTCAGCAACTAACGAAACAAAGTTGTCGTAGGTCTTAAATTCTTCAGATTTATATATGTCAGAAATATTTTTATAAACCATGTCGCAATCTTTGTCCATAACTTTATGGTTGCAATGAAAACCAAGGAATTTATAATTTACCTTTCGTATGAATTTCTTAATTTCTACTGAGTCAGTTGCTTTGACTTCAATTTCGTCGAATTCAGGAATAGTTAGTTTTTGCTGCTGAATTTCAGGTAGTTTAGGCAAATGGTCGATGAGGTCCTCCATTTCATAAAGATACTGTTCATTTTCTTCATCCTGTGCGGTACAGTCTAAATTACTTGTTAAAAGTTCTTGCTTTATCTTCTGGATTTCTGTTTCAAAAGTATATGAAGAAGGAATAAAGCTTTTCATCTCTACTAGCATAGATGTTGGATTCATGACTAACGAGTTTGGTGTTGTTGTTTGAATTGTTGTTGTGCCGATTGTTGAAATCATATCTTTTATACAAAATAAAAAAAAATAAATAAAATAAAACTAACTTTATTTTTTCTATCTTAAGGAAATTCATGAAAATTCAAGAGGGTAGAAATGAGGGTAGATCTAACCATCTACCCGACATTCTCGTCAAATACAAAAAAATGAAGAATAACTTTCACTTTTTCATTATATAACTGTTATTTTTGACGAAGTGAAGATTTGCACTTCGTCAAAAAAATCCCTGAAATCATATCTTTTATACAAAAAAATGAAGAATAACTTTCACTTTTTCATTATATAACTGTTATTTTTGACGAAGTGAAGATTTGCACTTCGTCAAAAAAATCCCTGAAATCATATCTTTTATACAAAATAAAAAAATAAATAAAAATAAAACTAACTTTATTTTTTCTATCTTAAGGAAATTCATGAAAATTCAAGAGGGTGAAAAAACAGGTGAAAAAAGAGGTGAAATCTCACCTCTTCACCTAAACATTATTTTTGGTGTAAATTTCATTGACTGACTGACTGACGGCACAAAGTGGCTTAACGAAAACATTAATATATAAAATTCATGAAAATTCATGAAAATTCAAGAGGGTGAAAAAACAGGTGAAAAAAGAGGTGAAATCTCACCTCTTCACCTAAATTATATTTTTTGGTCCGGGAACAACTTTCTCTCAATTGGAGCTGTAGCATACTCTTTGCGTAAGCGGTTCAGACCTTCTTCGAAGTCTTGGTCTCTCTTGGACTGAGATTGGAATTGGAATTGCTGGGGTGGAGCTTGCTGGAACATCCAAGGGTTGGGGAAGTAAGGCATAGGCTGAGGAGGGTAGTTCGGGAAGCCTTGTGGTGGGTAGTAACCTTGAGGTGGAAATTGGTAGTAATTCGGAGGTACTTGCTGGAACTGAGGTTGCTGAGGAGACTGTTGTGGTTCTTTAGGTTCCTCTGGTTTGGGAATGGACTGGGTTGGTGGGACGTGGGACATTCGTTTGTGGCTTAACCGTCGGACCACAACGATAAAAATCTCTGCTACTAGCAGTACTTTTACTGACAGTAGCAGTACTTTTACTGACAGTAGCAGTACTTTTTCTGACAGTAGCAGTACTTTATCGTCGAAAACCCTCTCAAATTTTCCTTTTTACTGACAGTAGCAGTACTTTTACTGACAGTAGCAGTACTTTTACTGACAGTAGCAGTACTTTTACTGACAGTAGCAGTACTTTTACTGACAGTAGCAGTACTTTTACTGACAGTAGCAGTACTTTTACTGACAGTAGCAGTACTTTTACTGACAGTAGCAATGGTCGAGGTCGAACCTACCGACGAGGCAATTTACCTAATTGAAATTAACGAGCTTGTTAAAGACTTCCTCAGGCAGAATGTAAAAGGCAAGCTTGTTAACGGTTGGATAACGGAAGGGCTGCCTTGAATCTCGAGACTTCGACCGGAATTCCAATTCAAATACCAGAAAACACTCCTTTCGACGACATAAAGCAAGCAAAGAAGGAAGCCATTATAAAGTTCTTTGCCAAGCGTCCTTGGATACTACTTCCAAACAGAGAGAGTCCAATTCCACGAATTATACAAATTCTCAGAGCACTGTTCCACTTCTCGGGTCAACCATTCTACATAACCTGTGAAGGCGACATCCAACCAGTTCAGTAAACCTTAACGTTTAACTTCACTTTTTTATGTTTTTTGTGAAAGTGTCAAAAATAAATTGTTTTCATGAGTTTTCTACGATATTAGAAAAAATGTTATTTTCTAATATCTTCACATTCAATACTTTTTCAGCACTTTTCCGTAGTTATATATGAAAGACAATTCGAGATAAAAGTCATAGTACAATGGAATAATATGTTGCACACCATTTGTTGTGAACCAAACTTGAAAGTCAGAGAAACTGTTACTAGGTGGTTCGTAGAATTTAGAAGCAAAGTCATAAAAAGTCCTTACCAATACATAGAAAACTATTGTTGCTTGAACTGAAACTTGCATGACACATAACATTTTGAGGGTCAAACACGTTTCTATAAACTGTCAAATCTGCTGGTGGAAGTATAAATTTAAATGGACCATCTGGTGGTAATGGTTCGTTCTGGTTTAGTAACCGAAGAAATTGTGCCCAAGAACGTTTGTCTACTTTCCAAAATAAAAACTCTGTATCTCTTGGAGGGTTAATTTCAATCTTTTGAAATGAAACGGTGGAGTTCATCTTGTCATATTCTAGTTTCAGATAGTATGTTCCATTTAGTAAAGAGTCGTATTTTTCTTGAAATTCCCAATAATATTTGTTCATTTGAGTTTGAAAGTCATTTAGAGTTTTCTCAAGACTTTCGTCTGAACGAACTGTAAAGATTCTCATTTCGTCAAATTTGTCTATTAGACCATCAGAACCTTTATACTGCCCATGAAAATATACTGCGAACATAAATGCGTTAGTTCTATTTGAAAACAAAACTCTTCTAAATCCTATTGCCTTTGCATCTGAAGGACTTTGAAGCCAACGAATTGGATAGTCAAACCTGTATGCTCGGGATGAAATTTCTTCATCTGAAATAGTCCTACCAGCATTTGTAAAGATATAGTCTAACGGTTTTGTATCTGCTACTTTTGTTCTTTGTTTTTCAACCTGAAGCATTTAATATATGTAAAAATATATTGTTTTAAAATGGTATGCCATATAGCTTCTTGAATTTGTTAAGAAGTATTTGAACGTATTTTCCATCTGTATCTCTAGTGTTTACATAAGCAAACACAGCGTACATTTCAAATAAAATAAAAAAATGTCACTTTTTTAAAAATAAATTTTTTATTTCATGCAATGTTTTATTTCTGTGCCGTCTTCAAGTATGCCCCAATATTTCCTTTTCGATATTACATGAACTTCGGAAAATACCTTATCTAGCTTAAAACAGCCCATCTTTTCACCGACCATTCCCATTTCAATGAGTTTGTTGTATCCTTCTTCGTTCGTCATGAGTGCGTCAATGTTCTCATAGTAAACCTTCACTTTCGATTTGACTTCGGAGAAGAATTTGTTGTACTCGTCAAGGACTGCCTTTGCGAACTGAGGGTAAGACCAATGTTCGACAATAGGTTTTAATGTGGTTACTAAGCCACTTTGACCTTGAGTGAATTCGTACTTCAAAACAAAAGGAGAAAACCTTTCAACAAAGTTGTCGACCTTCTCATAATGTTTACTCTTCATCTCTTGAGGTTTCTTAATGGAATATCCCCATGTCGAATTCATAAGCAATTTGAGTGTCATTGCAAGTTTGGGGTTTGAAGCTTTCCTAATATCATACAGTTGTTGTATGACTTTTCCAACTGTATAGTTCCTTCCCGGGAACTCACCATCTTCGTTTGGAATTCCAGTCGGAATATATTGGACAAACCTCATGTACGCAGCGTTAAGGTCGACATAGTATATCTTTTCGTTTGAGTCGAACTTGTCGCAACCAATTGGTCCAGTTTGTGGAAATTCAAGTGAGTCTCTTATCTTCTGAGAAACTTCTCCTGTTATCTCATAAACATTCGTCGAAGCAACCTTTTCATATAAACCTTCTGACCTAACTCAGATGCTCTCCAATACAATTTGACGTCAATTGGATGTCTCAATGGAAGTTTGTTTATAGCATCTTGAAGTTCTTGCAACCTCATTGGAAGTTCTTCTGGTTCAGGTTGGTATCCGAACATACCAACTCCTTGTGGAACTGTGTACTTCTTTTGTACTAGAACTTTGTCTGGAACAACTTTTGGCTTGCTAACAATGAAAAGTTTGTTTCGTCTTTTGGTACAAAAGTTTCTGTCAGCTTGTCATCTGGAATTGGTTCCAACAAACCTTTCTCGAAAAGAATGTTTACAGCTCTGACAATGTTGCACTTGCCTTTTCCGAACAATGGGTTTGTAAGACTTTCGTTCAACATGAAGTGGTTGTGGACAATTACAATCTTCAACCATGGTAAATTGAACTCAACAACATAGTCGTCATGTGAAGAACCTTTAGCTGTAGGTATGTTGACTCGGATATTGACATTTGCCAACGGTGCAATTTTTGCCAACTGACCTCTGAGAATGTACCTTGTCTTCACACATGACTCAAGATACTTCATCTTCTCATCTGTAACAAGACCAGAGTTCCTGAGACATGTAAGAATGCAAGGTTCGTTGACAATTGTTTCAATTGAATTGTAAATTCCATACCTTGTCAAGTCAATGTCAGACTTATTTATGAACGGGAAGTATCCAGCATGTTGTCTGACTGCTTGAGGGTTAGGTTGGTACCATTCGAACTTGACACTTGCAATTCCTTCAATTGCATTCAAAATGTCTGAGTCGGAGTCAACCATTTGTTCTCTCTTTGTAGTCTTGAAAGCGTCAAGAAGTTTTGCGGCTGTTTGTTCATTGCCATGTGCATAGTAAATGTGACCATCCAAATCTGTTATGGTCAATCTGAGATTGTGTCCTTTCTTATTTTCGTCTTGTATGGCAGCAAGTACTCCCATGAAGCCTTCTTTGTTCTTTCCTTCGTCAAAGTTTACTGTAAAGGTTCGACCAGATGTAATTTGACTTCTAACTTCACGATACTTTTCATATGCATATCTTGTTCTTTCCATGGGAGCATGTGTGTCTTCACCTTTTCCTTTTTTCCTTCTCAAAGGATGCAATTGTTCGTCATGTTTCCAGTAGAATCTGGCAAAGCCGTCGTGTCCTTCAACTTGAGGTTCACTAACATCGAAAGGCATGTCCATAAGACGTTCTTCTTCTAACCTCTCTAGTCTGTTTGGATAATTTGCACGTGTTGTTTCCAAATCCATTTCGTAGCGAAGACCAGACAATTTGTCATAGACTTTTATGGGTCTTCCCTTCCTATATTTAAACTTCTTCGAAACTCTCCAACCATATCTTTGTAACTCTGCTTTTATTCTAGCAGACTTTCTATCCATTCTATATGGGGGCATTTTTATAAAAATTAAAAATTTTTTTTTCTTTACTTTACATAACCGCCTGCTGCCATAAGTCTTTGACGCCAACCCATACCAGCTAATGAAGGTTGACTTGGTTTAGTTTCCAAACTAAACTTTGGTTTTGGTTTATCTTCAGTTTTTGGTTTTTCTTCTTCTATCGGTTTTTCGTCACTTTTCGGTTCCTCTGACTTTACTTCACTTGCAGGAACAGTTGTGTCGTCAACATCTTCATAAATATCATATGCCATTTGTTTTTGTTTTCCTTTCAACTTTTTGTGTTTGTTGTAAAGTTTAGAATATTTCGACTCTAAGTCAATGAGATGTTCTATAATGAACTGTTGGTCAGTGAAGTAAACTTTTCCATCTGTTGTCTCGAAAGCTCCTTCAGACTTCAATATTTTATTTGTGAGAGTCTGTTTCTTTTTTGAGATACTAGCCGTTCCATTTTTATGAAAAGTGACTTTGTAGTTAGGGTTTGTATTTCCAGACCTGGCACTTTCTATTATTGAATTTTTCTCTTCATCTGTAAGTTCTTTGACAGGTTTTGACAATGGTTCTGAACTTTTTGTTTGTGGTGTCAAATCTACCGTTTCAACTTCTTCGGTCATTTCATCTCAGTAAAAAATTTTAGTTTGGTTTGTTTTCAACTGGTTGTTTAGGTTTTTTAAGTCGGTCTAAAACTTCCTGAGGTATAGGAAGAACTTGACAAACACGTGTAACTGCTGGAAGCCGACAAATCCATCTTGAACTTATTTGTCTCAATGCTGCATTGTTCATTTCATCTCAATAAAAAACTTTACATTCCCCACGTTTGAGGCGGTTGAGGTTGGTTATTGTTTACCCACTGTTGTGCATGGTTATATCCTCTGTTAAAGAATCTTTCACCTTGGTCCATATAGTGTCCTGCTTGGTTATAGTAGTCATTTGCTTTGTTATAATAGTTTCCTGCTTGTCTTCCTACATTGTCCATCCATCCTTGAACTTTTCCTCTTGTTTCAGGATTTGGAATAAGATTTGTTGCATCTCGTGCTACATCCCAACCTTTCTGTACAGTTTGTATAATAGGTTGTGCTTTCTCTTTCAGTATACCTAATGTACTCAAAATCTTCCTTCCAATTCCAAATGCACCTCTGGCTATTGTTCCCACTGCGGGCAAAAATCTAGATGCAACTCCTGCTAATGCGCCAAATAAACCCATTTCTTATGGGTTAAAAAATGACGAATCCAAACAAGGACCCCTATGTTTCTAAGGCAACAAAAAAAGCACTCATGATAAAAATCTTTAGTTCAACACCAAATGCTTGGTTTATGGATATCTTGGAAAACATTCCGAGAGTTAGAACAGATGGACCACCATACTGGTTAATATTTGTTGGTCAAAACACAAGATACTGTGAAGCCATACCATTATGGTCCAAAAATATTTTAGATGTGAAAACTGCTTTGACAATATTCGTTGACAAATACCATCCAACAAAACTGACATCTGACTGTGAAAGTTCTTTCAAATCAGATGATATTAAAAACTATCTGCGTTCAAAAAATGTAAACCAATATTTCATTGTCGACCAAAACCATTCTGCTCTTGGTGTCATTGACGGATGTATAAAAATGTTAAGAGACTTAAACCAACCACAAGGTGGTGAAGCAAATGAAATGTCATATGACGACAAATATAGACACTTCTCCATGGCAAAGATGAGACAAGTTTTAAATATTTACAATAACCGTAAACAAAAAGGTTTGGGAAACCACTCCCCCGAAGAAATGAAAAACAACCCTGACTTAGAGAAAGACTATATATTTAATAATTTAGTCAAAAGAGACAAACAAGAAAGAATGCCGGGCTTCAAACTTCAGAAAGGTGACAAAGTAAAAATAGAAATACCTAAACGCGACCCATATGAAAAATACTATTGACTATGACAACAATGGGAACTCGACAGGTACTCACATTCGTGTTCGTAAAAATAGAAGAAAGTATACAAGAGAATATTATGAAGTTTTAGGCAAACATGGCAAAATGTACACATTGCAAGCAGAAGATAAAACTACTATTGTCAGACCTCGTTTCAAACTTGTCAAAGTTCAAGGTGGTATACTTTCAAAGACAGTTCCTAACAAATATAAGACAACTCCTGACGAATATGCTAAAGAAGTTGAAAATGACGACTAAGCAATTCTATACCATGCGTAAACTGTCATGTAAGGTGGCATGTATTCTTTACTTTGTCCCGTTGTTTGTGTATATCCTGAAACGTGATGTGTATGGTTTCCTCCTCCCTCAGTGTTACTCCAGTAACAATTTATAGCAAACTTAACGTTGTCTTTAACATCATATCCTTTACCTTTTGTCATTGCTGACCAATCCAATATCTATGCTTATGCCAACCTGCTTGAGATGTACTTAAATCTATGTAGTGACTGTGTGCAGGTAAATTTTCACCTGAAATCGTTTTACTTCCACCTGTTTCCTTTGAAGAGTTTGCACAATACAAAAACCTGTCGACTATTTGAGTCCAAGTTCCAAAACCAAGTACTACTTCTGGTCTGGTAGAGTTCATTGAAACATATAATGAGCCAACCGGGTAAATAAGATTCGGCAAAATTTGTTTAAGCACATTGAGTTCCTGTCTTAGATGCATAATACTATTGTCATTAGATATCAAAGTATCTACAAGACTTGTTGCCGGTGGTATTGTTGGACCTTTACTTGGCAAGGTTGTGTTTAGTGTAATATCATCTGCTGTAAAAGTTGTAAAACTTGTATGTGTATGAGTCTTATCTGCTTTCTTCTCTAACTCATCGTTAACATAAGTTTTATCTGCTTTAAGGTCTAAACATCCTGAAACCCATCCTGTATCAGCTTTAGTTTTAAAAATCTTCGATGTCCATTCATGATACCATTCAACCCTTTCTTTAATTTCATTATCCTTTTCATCCACATATTCCTTATCTGCCTTCTTCATTAACTTACTAGCCACATATTCCTTATCCGCTTTCTTTTCAAGGCTAACGTTTAAGTTTGTTATTTCAGATATAGAATGTGTATGAGTCTTATTTGCTTTTGTCTCTAATGTTTCTTGTAAGTTTGTAATATTTGCAATGGTATGTGTATGTCCAACGGCACTTTTCCTGTTTAAGGTTTCTTGTAAGTTTGTAATATCAGATATAGAATGTGTATGAGTCTTTTTAGAATATTCGTTTTCAGCTCTTGTCACTTCACTTGACATTTTATTGTCAACATATGTTTTGTCTGCTAGTTCAGGATGAGTATGTTCTTTTGTTGCATAAGCATTGTTAGCTCTTTCTTCTTCTTTTGCTATTGCATCGTCTACATATTCTTTGTCAGCTTTGTTGTCAACATCTGCTTTCAAAAGAAGTTCATTTATAGGTTTCTCGTTTAAAGTTCCTTTTGTTGGATTTATACAGACAGTATTGTTCTTCTTGTCTTGAAATAGAAACTCATCTGTCATTGGGTTTATTGTCAGTTTTAAGTTTCCTTCTTTCAATGACTCAGATATCTTAGAATAGTTTGAAAAGTTTGTTGTGTTCTTATTTAGAGCTTGCATAATGAGTTGTCGGTTGTGTTGTATTTCTCTTATGGAAGCAATATCTTTCGACATTTTTATTCTAGATAAAATATGCTTCCAATAGAAAAAGAAAATTCTAGAGTTGCTACAACTAAACCATTAGATGAACTTTTTACTAATGTCGGTCAAAAGTTTGAGACAGATACCGTAAAGCATGAAGGCTATCGTTTTGACTACCCATTAAGATGGTTAAGAGACCCATCCGTCACAAAAGCTATTGGCTTTCGTAGAATGAAGTTCATTTCAGAAGCCATACATGGTTTCCCATTTACGGTCGGTTTTGAAGTTCGATACTATAACAAAGAAAAACGTATGTATGAGAAATTTGAACAGGGAAAACTTTTACAAGTTAGTTTGCTTGTAAACTTAGAAACAACTCTTCAAGCTTTTCAAGAAAAAATAAACGATATCTATATTGAATATGCAAACCAGTATAACATTGACGAAGGAGAATACCATCTCGATATTATTTATGACAGGAAAAATGCAACTGTTAAAATCAATAAAATAGAAGACCTTGGAGAAAACGTTTATATTTCTACAAAATATAACAACTTGGCATGGTATAGATTTATGAGGATGTTAAATCAGCCTGCAGCATATCCAGTACACCCGGACTATTATGAAGTCGAAACCCTAATGGAACATATGAAAATATTTTCGACCCAGCTGCTATTATTGTTCATGCTTCATTTTCTGGCGCCCAAAACTCTTTCTTATGCTTGGCAAATGACTTTTACGAAAAACCTACAAAGTTATATGAACCGCCGAGTGGAAGTATTTCAGACTTTCAAGTATGGTTTACTACAGATGGAAGAAAAAGAATAATTCCATTATACCATGCGTTTTACTTAGAACTTAGTTTCATATACAACTACTATCGAACGATAAAAATATAATTTTTTAATACGGTTGAGGTGTTGGATTTGGTTGCCAACTAGACTGTGGTGCAGGTTCAGGCTGTTGTATAACAGGAGCTTGTTCTTCTGGTTCAGGGTCTTTAGGTATAATACCAACAAACTGACCTACTCTTTTACCAATATTTTTGACTCCGTTCCAAATTCCTCTTCCTACGGTTTTTATTCCATTCCATATACCTCTTCCAACTCTTCTGAAGAAGTTTCCAATACTACTGAAGAAACCCATTTTACTATATGTAAAAATCTAATGTCCACCTAGTCTTTTGCGTTTCCTGTTGAGTTCCATAGCATTCTTTAACTGGAGCTCATACATTCTGTTTCTCCTCTGGTAGAAAACATATTCTGGGTCAACTCCTGTGTTCGCGTCATCTGCATAAAGTTGTTTATATCCCACTTCAGGGTTTGTATAAAACTCTTTCCATCTCATATTTGCATACCATGGTGGCAAACCTAACGCAGCGTCATTTGACATGGCAGTTTGCATTTGTACATCTGTTGGCACTTGACCATAGTTTGCCATTGCAGTTTGTATTCTAACTTCATTTGGAATATTCTCTGGGTTTGGTTGTCCAGGTTGCTGTGCATTCGCTAAGTTCTGTGCGTCCATTTAATATTAGATAAAAATATCTCTTACGAGTACATATACTGAACATTTGCAGGCATTGGTTCATCTTCATATTCTCTGTACTTTTCTGCCACGTCAAATAAATAAATGACACAATGGAAAAAACCTAAAACAAGTAGTCCTATTTCAAACCACATTTACTTACTAATAAAATTTCTTTATTGTGACACTTTCTCCAGTTTATAGGACCTCTCTCATATTCTATCTTGTCATATCTAAACTCATAGTCGTTTATATCTTCTAACCATCTCATAACGGTTTCCAAACCACTTTTATCGGATGTAAAGTAAAAGCATGGATGGTTATGTATAACGTCTAAAGTTTCTAAAGAGTCTCTCAAAGTCCAGTCTACTTGGTATTGAAAATCCATGTGTTATAGAACGGCGGGTCCACTATAAAGAAAACATTTTCCTTGTCTTTATATTTTTCATACAACTCTGTCCAACGACATCTCACAAACTCTATACCCTCAATATATTTTTCTATGTTCTCTTTGAAAACATTTGTATAGTTAAGAGATAAAACTTTTGACATAAGTGTTTCAATGTCATGAACTCTTATAGCACCACTATATAATAGTCTAGCAGATATACTATCCCAGTCTATATATTCTGCTTTTTTCAAAACCTCTCTCACAATATTTTTCTTATCTAATGGTATACGTTCCATCTTACCTATAGGTATCTTTTCTTTTAACTCTTTCAATATATTGTTTGTGTCTGGAATATGTTTGAGACGGTCCATATAGTTGTCGAAGTCATTGCATATAATCTTTGAGTCTGGGAATATTGTATGACACAAATGGGATATATAGAAACTTCCACCGAACAAATCTACAAATGTTAGACCATTCGGTAGTTTCTTAAGTTCTCTCAATATAATATCTTTACATCTACTCTTATTTCCAAAGAACGGTAACGGTGGTTTTGTAAAATTCATTATATATATAATAATAAAAATGTTTTTACCCGAAAAGTGACAGAAAAGTGACAAAGCATGAAAACATATATAATTTGTGAAAAGCGACACATTATATAATGTTTTCGACCCAGAAGAAGGCTTCTTCCCAGAAGCAATGGAGGAAGAAGAAGAGTCCTCCGAATTCACACCAGAAGACTAACAATTTTCCGAATAAAAACTTCATTTATACTAAACATCTTCGGGGCTAGAGGGCGCAACGCGCCTGGAAGCCCCACTTACCTGACCTAAATCATACAGAGTTAATATAGTGCTTCATTATATTTCTCAAATTAATAGAAATAATCAAAAAATAAACATTTGTGATACAAAAAGGTTGAAAAGCAAATGTTCTTCAGTAAAACGCATCTACATTTCTCCATAAAGTTCGAATTATGGTTCATGGTGAGGAAGCTATGACAAAATATTGAGGGAAATCTGCTTATTCCGGAAGATATTTCTATTCATGCATGATTTATTTAGATTGATATCTCCATCTTCTTGTTTGATTTCCTTTATGAGCAGTGGAAACGAAAATACGGCTAATCGGAGATGGCTTATTATAAGTATTGGTATTTCGCTAAATTTTTATGCACAATAAGTCCTGTTATATAAAAAGAAAGCTATATGCTCTAACCCATTGATGACACCCATCTGTAGGATGTTGTTTTCTTACATTTTATATTTTTGAGTTAATTGAATTCATAAACAAAAAAACGAATATGAATTAAATAATGAAACTTGATACAAATTTGGATTGTTGCAGATTTGTCAATTTTTCATTTCTATGTTTCGGACCAAGATTGGATTTTTTCGTCTTTTACAAGCTAATTTATTCGTGAACTCTGCCCCAGTCATAAAGGACAATGTAATGTACATTACATCTAGTGATGACATGAATAATAGCATGTTAATTCAAAACTTGGCTTTTGAGAACCAAATTAATCACATTGTAATTGAAGGTGATTCGCTTGATAACTTACCACGTTTGAATTACTTGTTTAATATAACAAAAATCGATATTTTGGCTCAAAAAATTAATAATATTCCTGAAAATTGTTTTTCTTTTTGCAAAAATCTTACAAGCGTCCAGCTTCATTCGGGAATTGTAACCATTAATGCAAATGCTTTCTATTCAACACCAATTTCCGAAATTAATCTCGATAATGTCAAAGAAATTCATAATTTTGCATTCAAATGCTGTCCAAATCTCTTAGAATTAAATTTACCTGCAATACAAGTAATAGGAAAGAACGCAACTGAATCATCCGGAATTCAAACAGTAAAATTAGGATATAGCCTTGTAGAAGTGAGTGATTTCGCATTTTTCAACTGTAAACAACTAGTTTCGATACAATTCGGTAAAAATTTAACAAAAATTGGAAATGGAGTTTTTATGCTTTGCCAAAACCTAACTCAGCTTAATCTCGAAGACACAAACTTACAAAGTATTGGAAGTTATTCATTCTACGGCCTAAATATTAAAAACATTAAATTTACGAACTCAATCAACCAAATTGGAGCTTATTCATTTGCTTATTCATCAATTTCATCATTAGACTTTCTTGTTAAACTTACAGATTGCGAAATTGACGAATACGCGTTTGCTTATTGCAATGAAATCAAATCAGTCATAATTAACTCAGAAACAAACATTAATGATGCGGTAGGAATGTTTTACTGTTGTTCAAACTTAGAAAATATCACATTAAACGGTAAAGATCTTGATATTCCGATGAATTTTGCTTATTGTTGCTCAAAACTTACAAATTTCGATGCCAAATCGATCAAACAGGTAGAATACAAAGCATTTTATATGTGTTTCAATCTCAAATCAGTCAATTTACATAATTGTAAATTAATCAGTATCAAATCTTTTTCAAATTGCTATAATTTGAATGTTACATCATGGCCATACGGTCCTTTGTATCTTGGAGAGAGTTGTTTCGCGTATTGCTCTAGTTTAGACTTCAAATTAATTCCATCTGGATATTCCGTTCAACAGAAAGCATTTATTGGCTGTACATCGATCAAAACATTATTAATCAAGTCGTTTAGATTCGATTTGCAGACAAGAACCGGTGGACATTTCGTTGGATGCTCTAATATGGTCAACGTTACATTCAACACCATTGATATGTACGCTATACCATGTAATTGTTTTTACAAGTGCACTGCGCTAGAGAGAATCACTCTCCCTGAAGGATGTACGACGATTCTTGAAAATGCCTTCGCATTTACAAATCTGAAAGAGTTTGATTTCACGGACATCAACTATATATGTCAGTCTGCCTTCGAAAGTTCCGCTCTATCTAATGTTTTCTTCACAGAAGATATAACAATCGATAATTTCGCTTTCAAAAATTGTAAATCACTCAAAAAGTGACATTCAACTTTACAACTACAGAATTTAATCCACAATCATTTATTGGCACTGATATTGATGAGATCTGTTTCCCTCATGGTGATTTAACCTTCGACAGCAAATATAAAATGATTTTATCCGAAAATTCGAAAAATTTAATTTTAATTCAAACAAATTCTGATGTTTTCGATGTTCCGATTAATGTAACAAGGATATCAACAGATGCTTTCGCTCTTTCATCGAATATATCTGTTATAAACATAGATCATTACGTTTTTCTAGAAGATTATTCTTTTTCAAGTTTAAATGTGTCAAAAATTAATTTTGACATAAAAGTGACGAAAAAATAGATAATTTTGAAATGGGAGCTTGTTTCGCAGGTCTTGAGAATCTAGAAGTCGTTAATCTTCCAAAACAATTGAATTTTGTCCCCAAAAACTGTTTCTTAAATTGTAAAGTTCTCAAAAAAGTTGACCTCACTTTTGTCAAAGAAATTCAATCTGGCGCTTTCGAGAACTGCCTGAGCTTATCATAAATCATTGTCTCCAATCATTTGGAATCAATTGATTACGAAGCTTTCAAAAATTGTCAAAAATTGACAAAATTTGACATCCCTGATTCTGTCAATGAAATTGGGTTTGGCTGTTTCCATAACTGCATTAATTTGAAGCATGTAACAATAGGAAATGGATTAAGAATTTTGAATTCTTATGTTTTTTCGAATACTTCTATTTCTAATTTGTTTTTGCCAAAAACTGTTTTGGATATTAATAAATTGTGTTTCTACAATTCTAGAAACATCAAAATAACTGTTCCTAAGGATCATCTGCTGTTTAGAGTAGAAGACAACGCGTTGATAATGAAATCTGATGATTCTTTGTTTTTGACATTTGGAAAACTGCCAAAAATTTACGAAATTCCTGAATCTGTCAAAGTTTTGACTGAATCATCAATGCAAACATATATCAATGACATTGTTTTCAATGAAATATTCTTCTATAATGATGATCCTGGTGTTGGAATCATAAAAATACCAAAAAGCGTTGAAATAATTGATGAAAACGCGTTTTCAATGTTGAAATATCTTTTCACGATTTGTTACGAAGGAGAAAAATCATTTGACATCAATTTTAAAGATAATAATGAGTTTGAAAACATTTATGTCAATGATAACTTCTCTTTTGACTCAAACAACATCGTGAAATATAAGTCAGAAAAATGTAAATCAGATCTTCCTGATTTGTTCAAAATGAGATCATTTACTGGACTGACTTCTCTTGAAATAGGACTAATTGTAACAGTTTCTGTTATATCTGTTGTCCTTGCTATATTATTGTATCTGAATATCCGATATATTTGTTTAATCAGATCTTCAAAGAAAATATAAGTAAAAATGTAAATTTTTAATATTCCTGCATATTTTTAACAGCATTTCCTCCTTTATGTTTTCTTTCTTTTCTGATCATCTTTTCTTTTTCTGTCTAAATTTGAATTAAAATCAGACGAGCGTAAGGGCTCACTATCTTAGTTCACGATCTTAAAGATACTCTATTCCATATGATAGAATTGATATCTTTATGAATAAACATAAATGTAGCATTCATTGAACATACTCTATCTTTTCACTGTTTCATGATTTAAAAAAGATCTCTAGAAATAAATTAACGCAACTGGTCAAGAAGAACACTTTAAAATAAAAGAGAAAAGATTGAAGAATCTTGAAGAAAAACTCCAGAGGAAAGAAGAGAGACTTTGCAAGAAGGAAGACATATTAGACAGAAGAGAAAAGATGCTCATTAAAGAAAGAAAGCACAAAGGAAGAAATGCTGGAAGAATATGTAGGAAAGCTTTTCATTAGTTTTCTAAATAAATGATCATAGCTTCAAATCTAGATATTTCATCATTAGAGAAAAATTCGAAAATATTTTTCATTAGAAACTCAATTTAAAAATTAATAAAATAAGATAAAATAAAGTATTATCATTTGTTGATAATATCTTCCCAATCTACATCCTTATCGATATTCTGGAGGAATGAAAGAGCTTTCGATATCATAAGAGAAAATTGAGTCAAGTCATCTTTGAAAGTTCTTCGGATGTATGAAACTGCAGCAACGGTGGCAGCTACATTTCTTCCATATTTTTCTTCGATTTTCGTATCGACATTAACGAAATTATCCCATGAGCCATCAATATTTTGATTAAAGATTAATTTATCTGGAGATGTTTCTTCTGAACTTCCTCCGCTGGATGGGAAAAAGAAAGAGAAAATACTTTTGAGAACTGAAAAATTGGAAGCTGTTTTATCATCATTAGTACTTTCATCTTTCTTAATATTGTATTTAGGCGGACTTGATTTTTTAGATGGCTCAGAAGCTTTTGGTTTTAATAGGCGAGGATTGAGATTTGGAGGATCAGGAGCAATCGAGAACTTCGCGCTACCACGAAAATATCTATCATAGTTAATTCTCATATCAAGATCCGATTGATAATTGACTCCAATGTAGGATGTGAATTGGGAAAGGACACCAGATGACAATGATAGATCAATGCATTTATTTCGAAGATCGCGGTCAGAGAATCTAAATATCATTTCATGGTAATTCCTGGAATATAAACTATATCTGTAAGCAGAAATTTTACTAAAAATATCTGTTTCAATATCATCGATGACATATCGACTGAATAATTGCTTCATTCCTAAGTTGTCATTACATTTGGTAACTGGTATGATAAGACCAATTTCCTCACCTTCATTGAAGCCGCATATCAATATATTTTCTATGTACGACGATTTGATGAAGAAGCTTTGTGGATTTCTTGCAATCAATGGTGGGTATGGTGTAGGCCACATTTCTGTCTGATCGCTTTCACCTTGTATAGAAATATTAGACAATGATGGAGAAAGAGCAGATTTCATAATCTCGACAATCATGTTATTCATGTTGTCATCATCAGCAATTAAAACATAATTTCCTCCACTTTTTGCAGAAATGTTCTTAATTAAACCAGGATCTGCTCCAGATCCAAGACCAATTGCAAAAATTCGGTTGTTTTCTCTTTCTTTTTGTACTCTTGAACAAATCATGTCTGAGTTATGAACTTCACCATCTGTTAATAGAAATATCTTTCTAATAAATCCTTTTCCTAATTTTTTCTTAAAAACATATTCCAATGGTGACAGAATATCAGTACCACCCATGTCTGCATTGATACGAGCTATTGCACTCATTGCATATTTGACGTTTTTATTTGAATAATCACATATTGAAACAACTTCTTTATATGAATTGCCGAATTGAATGATTGAAAATCGGCAACCGATTGGAAGAGAATGAATCAGTATATTCAAACAAAATTTTGCATTTTCAATCCGTGAGCCTGACATTGAACCTGAACAGTCGATTATGAAATAAAATTCCGATTTTTGTTCAACTTTTCCTTCGAATTGTGGATATATAGAAATAGAAATATAACCATCACTTGAAACAGCTATACTTTTGTCTTCATCTTTGATTAAAGTTTCAATAATAATTGCATCTTCTTTAGGAGGTATTTTTGTAACGAAAGTGGCATTGTGACTATCAATTATGTTCATAGTTTCATTAGCAGTGACATGAATATCCCTCAATTCTTTAGTTGTCATGATTGTTGTTGAGAATTCGAAATTATTTGGAATAGTATATGTTACACGACCCTCTTGATATTTGTGAGTAAGAGGGAATTTGTATATATATCCTTTTTCATGGACATCTGCCAAGAAGGAAATTTTCATCTGAATTTCAACTTTTTTGTCCGCTTCGATATTTCCCAAGCCGAAAGAATCAAGACCATTTCCAGCATATTGACCGATCATTGTCATATATCCATCCCTTTTTGCTTCCTTAAACTCTTCCATGGCTTCCTCTTTGGATCGAAGATTTGGTTTGATAACTTTCCCGTCAACAATGAATGTTGGATCATATGTGCAGAAACGCGGTTCACTGGGCATGAAATATATAATGTCTGCTTTGCGACCTGAGTTGTTTACAAATTCTTGCTTAATTGTAAATGAAAGAAATGTATCTTGTTGGATTCCTGTAATACTCAAACCTGTATAAGTAAGGCTTCTATTGCCATCTATGATAACAGCATCGCCAAGCATAAGAAAAAAAATGAACTGAACTTCAATTGTTTCAAAATTTATTACAACTCAATATATAATACATAATATAGCAGTGATAGAATAAAATTAAACTTCAAAAGAAATTGTAAAATCATATCGGTTGTCAATTAAATTAGTTGCTCGCAAACATTCGATCCGACGGTTTTAATCAATAATTGATAAAAGAGGACAGAAATCATCCTAAGAAGATTTTATTACAGCAACCAAGAATTTCACATTAACCGTATTGCTGGTATCATTAAAATATATCAGTTTTTGAAACAATTTCTTTATTGAATATAAGTGATTAAAGAAGAAAAATCATTTTATTTCTTTCATTGAATAAAAATGAAAAGTTTTAAAGCTGCACTCGTCTGACTTTAATTCAAATTTTTGACAATGAGAGTGAAGCGTCATTGAAAAGCAACCTTTAGCATCTGAATTGATTGCCATGTCATAGTGGCGTAAGTTTTTTTTTATGAAAACATTTCCTCAAAAAAGTCTCCACTCCAGATAATCTCAGTATTTATTTTCTCTAATGAATCTGAGGTTAATTTCAAAAACTAACAAGAGATGATAGCCTTTATCATAAATTACAATAGTTAAGAAAGAAAAGAAATGCTCATGAAGTAAAAGTTATTTTAGAATATTATTTCTGTTTCTTTTGTTCAGAGCCGAGAAGTAATTTTAGTTCACTCTGTAGTTCTTGCTCAGGTCTTGATGCTCCATAAATGATCATACTTATGTGGATCTCTAATGTAGTTAGAATCTCAGATTAAAAAAAAATAGGAATTTGATGAGTTGAGTGACTCCATTAGGCTGATATTGACCTTATAAAATCATTTTCACGAATTCACTCAAAAATGTGAGACATTAAAATGAATTTCTGTAGATTAAAAATTTTTGACATATACCGAAGAAAATTGATGTGATTATAAACGATTTTTATCGGATATTGGAGCAAATATAATATATTAAAAATGCATTATGAAACATTGCAATAAAGTAGGCAAAAATTTTCCATGAACGATATCATCTCACTTAAAATGATCTGATTTATGAAATGTAAATATTTTAATTTTTATTTGAAATTTATATCAACGATTTTTTATCTCTAGATGTGATACAATTTTGTTTTCACATCACATTTAATCATGCAAGGCAATGCTAATTACCCAAAGATAAACTGGAAGCTTTATGTTCCAGTAAAAGGAGAAACTTTGGCTGAGAAAAAGGAAAGACTTCATCATGCAGAAGTCGAAAAGAAACGAGTACTCAGGCAGCGTGCACGACTCAATTACGCAACTGGTCAAGAAGAACGCCTTAAAAACAAAGAGAAAAGATTGAAGAATCTTGAAGAAAAGCTCCAGAGGAAAGAAGAGAGACTTTGCAAGAAGGAAGACATATTAGACAGAAGAGAAAAGATGCTCATTAAAGAAAGAAAACACAAAGGAAGAAATGCTGGAAGAATATGTAGGAAAGCTTTTCATTAATTTACTATATAAATGATCTTAGTTTTTTAATAATTTAATTATTTTTATAAATTGATAACACGAAATTGGATGCATGAAACTGCAGCAAAGGTGGTAGCTGCATTTCTTTCATATTTATGTTCGATTTTAGTATTAGCATTAACGAAATAATCTCATGAACCATCAACTTGTTGTGTCATATGGGCGCGAACACGCCAATAAAATCCATAAAATAAGAATGCTACCTTTATTAATTAATCATATCAGTTGCGATATTGATAGACTTGGTGGCTTTAGTGTACCTGTTTCAACTTTTGGCACAAAACTGGAGGTTACTCTTCCAGCACAAGCAGATTATGATTATTTTATTGTGATGTCCAATCCAAACGAGAATTTATATATCAATGATGTGAAGTTTAAGTCAAACGTTACTCGTATCAATTCTGGATTCATCCTTTTCAAATCTGAAAAAGATTTTAATTTGAAATTTATTGTTTTCCAACTCCCGATAAATTGTAGATCACGAGAATTCGTTATAAATCCAAGAGAAGGTAATTCATATGAAATTAATGATGTCAAGGCAAAATTAGATGAAAATGCTACTTATTGTCTTGTTATTGCAGGTGAAAATGAATTTGATTTAACAATTGCCAATAGTGCATCAAACAACAATGAAATCTCATATAGTCAATTTGATCTTTCAAATGGAGCTAGTATTGCAGCAGGAGAATCACGAACAATCAGTTCCACACTTGGCGTTTGTATTCGCTATACAGACACCACATCAGTTGATTCATCTTTAACTATAACAATTAATAAAGATAATCATAATTCAGAAACGCCATCAACAATTTTTGGTCATGATATTAATGGTTTAGAATATAAAGCAAAGGACAGTATTAATGTTATGGATTTCACCCGATCATTAAATTTGGGATTAAATAAATTAATTATTAAAAATACTACTACTAATATATACGTAGTTGCGAGGTCATCATACGTAGTATTCACAGAATTCAAGGGTATCAGCTGTAAAGTAAGCACTTTGGGAGGAACAGCTAATGATATCCTTGGATCCACTAAAATTGTCGCTGTTTACTTCAATACATCTGGATACTTAACATTTCAAACTGATGAAAAGACTCCTCAGCCATGCAGGCTTGTATATTTCAAAACTTTTCCATCAAATTGTAACCAAATTTTCACAATTTCTGGAGAAGGATCTATTGAAGACGAAGCAGAAGGTAATGAAACCCTTTGTGTTGCGGCTGCTTTCTCTTCCGGTACAGCCAAAATTGAAGTCGAAGGTAAATATAATTATTACCAAGCAGATGGAGTTACAACGCCTCAATCACTTGATGATTCGGTTGACCTTAAATTTACTTCTGCTGTCGCTGTTAACTTTTCTTCAAATACTGATGATGATGCAGAATTTAAGCTTTCGGTCAAAACAGATGATAATGATAAGTCAACCAAATATGTCATCAAACCTGGCAATGAATACAAATCATATTATTACGCTGGAAAAGAATTTGGCGAATTAAACGGAAAACATGATTCTAAGAAAGAAAAAGACAATAAAGCAATAATGATTGTAATAATTAGTGTTGTTACTGTCATCATTATTGCAGCTATTGTTGCAATTTATATTTGTTACGTGAAGAAACGTAAAATGAATCAAGAAGCTGGCATTGACACAGTTCCATTAGACAATTATGGAGAATTACAAGATAATTTTGCGGATCCACTTGTTGATGATGCGAATTAATTTCAAAATCTAAATTTTATTTTTCTAAAAAGGATTTTTATTATGCGAAATCAATTATTTTACTTGAAGTAAATCTCACTCTCTTACTTTACCCTATGAATATTGCTTTCAATAATATTTGAATTCGAAATACATAATTGAAAGTTAAAATTCAATGTTCCAAATGTGACAAAATTTTAACTGATTATTAACTACTGTATATGAAAGTATTTCATTTATTCAATTTGGGGAATTTCAATTATTTAAATATAGAATTAAATATATTTTATCAGGATTAATAAATTAGCATGCGAATCTGAGTGTTGAGCTTGAATTGTTCATTTAAAAAGTTAATAAAAAATTTAGCGAATAATATTTATAAATAGACATTGATTTATTTATATACAATCTATACAGTTTATAAGAATTAGAAAGACATTAAACATTAAGCGCAAATAAAAAATAAAAATATTTTTTCAAAATTATTCTGTTTTTTGAATCGTATCTTCATCAAGTAATTCTACATTTTCCAAGTAGTTCTTAATTAGCCTCAAAGTGTACTGATGGCATTTAGCCAATTCGATTTTCATGACGCAATCTTCGTGAGAATAAGCGCTTTCATAGTGAGCAACTATATCAATGACTTTAGAAACATCGTCATCTGTTGGGAGTCTCAGTAATTTATCATAGATCTCATTAGGATCAACAGGTGTGCCATCATCGCCTAAATTTGGCAAAAGTGGAATATTATCGTTAATTGGGATATAATCTTGAGAACTGAGGGCTTTATCTAATTCCTCCATGCTATCTGGTATTGATGGAAGAATATTGTTTAAAATTTCTGAAATTTGTTGAATATTGAATTGAAATTGGTTTGGCGTTGATCCTTCGAGTTGTAAGGATTTGTTGCATATAATCTTGCATATTGTCTGTAATGCTAATGAAATTTCTGAATCTGAATTCAAAGAACGAGCTGATGTGAGAAATGTTTCTTTAACTTCATCTACAAACTCTGTTATTGATTTGTATTCGTTCTTCTTGAGTTTTTCTTGAATTTTTTGAATTGGAAAAACATTTTCGTAATTTAACTTGAAAGATTTAAAATAATTCAATGCAGCAAGTCCTAATGGTGATGCTAATGCGTTATCTAGAATAGTTATACATTGATTATTTATAAATGGGTGCATTTCTTGGGAATTATAAAACGAATGACAAAAAGTGACAGTTCACGAAATTTTAAAACAAATTCCAATTCTTTTGCATTTAATACAATTGTCTTTCATCACAAAATGCAAAAACAAAGTTTACTTTGGAAGAATTATTCCAATTCTTTCAAGATTTCTCTCAGTTCTAGCTATTAGAATAATGAGTTACATCTGTTATGTTTATCACTAAATGTTGATGTTTGATTGAAAATAAAACATATGAGAAACAATATTTACAAAATTAAAAAAATAAACAAAGAATAATATATTGAATTACTATTCTTTAATTGCAAACGTTATATTTTCTGATGTTTGCATTTCAAAAACCATATCTTCATTAATTTCTTCATTTCCAATGCTTTCAAGGTCATAACAGAACTGTGATACAAGCTGAATGATTAGCTTCTTTTGGTATTCCAATCCTGACGGAACTAACCCAAATTTGTTCAAATTTGGATCTGAGAATTTTTGGTAACTTTTGAGTTCTGTAAGGATAGACTTGTATTTGTGAAGTAATTGTGGGCATCCTCTGCACATTGTTGGCTTAATTTCTAAAAATGGATTGTCAATTTGAATAATTTGAAGTTCTGAAAGATCTGATTCAGAAACAAACGATGTAGTATCAATAAAAGCAGGTGGATTTCCGAGAGCATCGATTGGAATTCCATCATTTTTCGGAGAAATTATAAAATTATGATTTTTAAGTATTTCTACAATGCAATCTAAGAAATTGGCTTCACTATGTTCGGATTCATTCTCCATACTAAATGGGAAATTACATAAATCAAGATGATCGAAAATATAAATTATATTCTTAAATCCGAAAGTAAATGATAGTTCCATTGGTAGAGACATGATTGTTTCAAGTAGTATATTGATTTTCGAGGGGCCGTTCTTGAATGCTGACACTACATTTCTGCCTATTTTTTCAATTTGAGTTGTAGGGAATTGTTCACTAATTTTTACATGAGATGGCAGTTCTGGTGATACACCTGTATTAGGTAAATCTAATAGCCAGCTAAATAAAGATGATGCAAAGGGGAAAATTCGAGGTGCTTGCCATATTAGCTGATTCATTGTGGCAGTAACGATTTCAATATATACAGAGTTTACATCTACTATTCTTTGTAATGAATTCTCCCAGTTTATTGGGAAAAAGAATAAATTTTCTATTTTCTTTTCATTAACTAATGTATGAAGCATTTCATTTGCTAAAAATGACATGATTGTTGATTTTCCTGTATGTGCAAAGCCGTCAATGTAAAATCTCCAATTATCAAACTGATTTTGTGAAATTATTTTTTCGATTTTTGCTTTTATTTCATCATAAAAGTCTATATCTTCTTCGTTTTTCTGTATCCCTATAGATTGACTTATTAGTGATGCTGAAATCCTTGATGCCGTGCTAGTTTGACAAAAATTTGTAATATCTGGATAATTTGGAAGCTGTTTTCTTTGTGAAGGAGTTAAAAATCCATGAAGACACATTAATGAGCCTGCAATATGATCTGAAACAGAAAGATTTGTCCTTTCAATTCGATCAGTCATAGCTAAAAATATAAAAAAAAATTAAAAACGTCATTCTTGAAGGAACCAAAACCCTTTATTGTTTTTCATGCTAAAATATCTTACACTTCGCTAATCACATTGAGTGTTTTAATACAAGAATACATATTCACTGCTCTAATATCTTAATAGCTAACACCTAAAAACTTGCATTGAGGTCTCTCTAATCTTTGAGCTAGCAACTAACAATGAATCTCGAATGACAAATACCTTTTCAATGGTCTCATAAAAGAAGTTAATCTTTTAATACCCTTGTTTTCCAGGAATTTACAAAAAGTGCATGACCCTACCCAGGGGTCCAAAATGCCCCTTTTTTCCAGCTCGCATATACCACGAGCTAATAGACAAAGACGAATAGCATAACATGAATACCTATAGTGTGGGTATTAGATTTAGCATACTTCCAATGGAAACTAAGAGGGTAACTGACATGATAATTAAAGATTTGATTAGCTCATAACTCACTCATTTTTATTAATGTGACTGTGATATTTTAACAGATGTGTGGGCAAGTATTAGAGATTATGATCATGTAATCAGATTAAAATTCTAAAAAGATTGATTGAAATTATTAACTTTTCCTTTACTAGTAATGTTAGAAAACAGATATTTTCCTCCCTAGTATATGAATTTATAATTAATATCTTGAAAATAGAAAACAAAGTAAATTTTAAAAATGTAAGATTATTATTAATCAATTTTTGATATTTTGCACGAATTCATGCTATCCTATGGGAAATGTGATGCGATGATTATTTTAATGATATTTTGCGGAAGAATTTACAAATCAAAAGTTGATTTCTCGTGTTTTAATAGAAATGAACTTGGTGAATAGTAAGTGTATATGGTACTTCTTATAAATGACAACTATTATTTGTTTAAAATCAATTGCGAAATCTTGAATAATATTTAAGCAGGAACAAATGATAAATGAATGTATAATATATAATACTATTATATGCTTAGACTAAGAACGAGGATATGAGAATCAAACATAGGCAAGTAGTTAAAATCGAAAATTCAAAGGGAATTTAAGACAACTAAAAAGTTTAAGCTGAGGGAATATGACGTACAGTAATGAGTGACAAGGATATGAAATGGAAATAAGATAATTTGTAGAATATTTCATAATTAACAAAAAACAAAGTTTGTAAGATATGACAATTGTAATGGTATGGCAGTATCACATGTATTTACAACAATAAAACGTTATTGTTGTTCATAATGCAACTTTGAGAAGAATATTTTGTGATTTTTCAAAAAGTTGCATCAAAGACAGTCATTCTATAATAATGGCTGTCTTTGTTTGCAATAATCACTTGTATTGCAAACAATAACAACTGATTGTTGTTCATAATGCAACATTATTTAGAATCATAAAAGATTTTGAAAAAAGTTGCATCAAAGACAGTCATTCTATAATAATGGCTGTCTTTGTTTGCAATAATCACTTGTATTGCAAACAATAACAACTGATTGTTGTTCATAATGCAACATTATTTAGAATCATAAAAGATTTTGAAAAAAGTTGCATCAAAGACAGTCATTCTATAATAATGGCTGTCTTTGTTTGCAATAATCACTTGTATTGCAAACAATAACAACTGATTGTTGTTCATAATGCAACATTATTTAGAATCATAAAAGATTTTGAAAAAAGTTGCATCAAAGACAGTCATTCTATAATAATGGCTGTCTTTGTTTGCAATAATCACTTGTATTGCAAACAATAACAACTGATTGTTGTTCATAATGCAACATTATTTAGAATCATAAAAGATTTTGAAAAAAGTTGCATCAAAGACAGTCATTCTATAATAATGGCTGTCTTTGTTTGCAATAATCACTTGTATTGCAAACAATAACAACTGATTGTTGTTCATAATGCAACATTATTTAGAATCATAAAAGATTTTGAAAAAAGTTGCATCAAAGACAGTCATTCTATAATAATGGCTGTCTTTGTTTGCAATAATCACTTGTATTGCAAACAATAACAACTGATTGTTGTTCATAATGCAACATTATTTAGAATCATAAAAGATTTTGAAAAAAGTTGCATCAAAGACAGTCATTCTATAATAATGGCTGTCTTTGTTTGCAATAATCACTTGTATTGCAAACAATAACAACTGATTGTTGTTCATAATGCAACATTATTTAGAATCATAAAAGATTTTGAAAAAAGTTGCATCAAAGACAGTCATTCTATAATAATGGCTGTCTTTGTTTGCAATAATCACTTGTATTGCAAACAATAACAACTGATTGTTGTTCATAATGCAACATTATTTAGAATCATAAAAGATTTTGAAAAAAGTTGCATCAAAGACAGTCATTCTATAATAATGGCTGTCTTTGTTTGCAATAATCACTTGTATTGCAAACAATAACAACTGATTGTTGTTCATAATGCAACATTATTTAGAATCATAAAAGATTTTGAAAAAAGTTGCATCAAAGACAGTCATTCTATAATAATGGCTGTCTTTGTTTGCAATAATCACTTGTATTGCAAACAATAACAACTGATTGTTGTTCATAATGCAACATTATTTAGAATCATAAAAGATTTTGAAAAAAGTTGCATCAAAGACAGTCATTCTATAATAATGGTTGTCTTCGTGTGCAATAGACACGTATCATATATGTATAAACAACTGATTGTTGTTCATAATGCAACTTTGAGAAGAATCTTTTGTGATTCTTCATAAAGTTGCATCAAAGACAATCATTTGCATAATATGACTCTTCTAGTTCTCAATAACAAATTGATATTTATATATAATCACGTGATTGTTCTTCATAATGCAATTTTGCATAAAATCTTTCTTCTGTTTTAAATCAATATCAGAACCTTATATTTATTTAAATTATATCATTACTTTATTATTTCATCAATTATCTCTCTTGTTTTTAACTTTTTTTCAATCAAATGTATGATTTCATATTTTATCTTATTCATGAATTGATACAGCTAATATCTTATATTCGATTGATAATACTGGCCAACTACAATCCAGAATACATTAGTGTAGCTCAAAGTTCAATCTTCAAATTCAGTTTGTAGAACATTTCTGTTTTCATCACTTATCTCTTATATAAATTATATAAGTATTCATATTGATTCATAAATTCCTATATTACATTGAGACTTCATAATTTTTTTATTGAATGATTTAAACCATTTATATAAACCTAATATTCAGACCTAACAATATCCAAATATTATTTCCCACATGTATCTGAGCATTTTCACAGATTTTACCAAAATTTTCAAAAAATGTGTTTTGAGATGATGGATTACCCATAATTTTTCAAAAAATTGAAAAATAAAGATCATCATATGACAATTATTTTTCAACCAAAAAATGGCTCGAAATTTTAAGAATCCATTGAAAAAATCGAGCTCCAATATTTTGTAAAGTTCTCAATTTTAGAGGTTTGTTCGATTTGAAAATAGAAGATAGATTTGATTTCATGAAAGTACAAAAATCGGTAGAAAGCACTCTTTAAATATTTAGTATACTTGCTCTTAAATGATAATGATTTTCTCACAAAATTTTGTACAATTTGAAAAACATTTTTTGCTGAGATTTTTATTGATTTCAAAGATCTATTATAAATAAATCATATTTAACTTAGCTGAAAGAGTGAAATGGTTTATTTTCAGTATTAGCTTTGTTGTATATGATGGAATTCAGAATAACTAGAGGTTAAATTCATCATTATAAATTTCATAAAATTCTATAAGTAATAAGACAAAAAGATATGCATTATTATAATAGCTGTAATATAAATGATATATTACTAAAGGTGGGTTATATAATTGAGTTAAAAAAGAAAATAATTTTCTAAACCAAATGAGTGTTTAAGTTTGATCTCGTTACACATGATCATAGAAGAGAATATAACAGTAAATATTTAGGCCCGTGTATTTCTCCAAGCATAACTTAATGTTCTACAAACTGAATTTGAAGATTGAACTTTGAGCTACACTAATGTATTCTGGATTGTAGTTGGCCAGTATTATCAATCGAATATAAGATATTAGCTGTATCAATTCATGAATAAGATAAAATATGAAATCATACATTTGATTGAAAAAAAGTTAAAAACAAGAGAGATAATTGATGAAATAATAAAGTAATGATATAATTTAAATAAATATAAGGTTCTGATATTGATTTAAAACAGAAGAAAGATTTTATGCAAAATTGCATTATGAAGAACAATCACGTGATTATATATAAATATCAATTTGTTATTGAGAACTAGAAGAGTCATATTATGCAAATGATTGTCTTTGATGCAACTTTATGAAGAATCACAAAAGATTCTTCTCAAAGTTGCATTATGAACAACAATCAGTTGTTTATACATATATGATACGTGTCTATTGCACACGAAGACAACCATTATTATAGAATGACTGTCTTTGATGCAACTTTTTTCAAAATCTTTTATGATTCTAAATAATGTTGCATTATGAACAACAATCAGTTGTTATTGTTTGCAATACAAGTGATTATTGCAAACAAAGACAGCCATTATTATAGAATGACTGTCTTTGATGCAACTTTTTTCAAAATCTTTTATGATTCTAAATAATGTTGCATTATGAACAACAATCAGTTGTTATTGTTTGCAATACAAGTGATTATTGCAAACAAAGACAGCCATTATTATAGAATGACTGTCTTTGATGCAACTTTTTTCAAAATCTTTTATGATTCTAAATAATGTTGCATTATGAACAACAATCAGTTGTTATTGTTTGCAATACAAGTGATTATTGCAAACAAAGACAGCCATTATTATAGAATGACTGTCTTTGATGCAACTTTTTTCAAAATCTTTTATGATTCTAAATAATGTTGCATTATGAACAACAATCAGTTGTTATTGTTTGCAATACAAGTGATTATTGCAAACAAAGACAGCCATTATTATAGAATGACTGTCTTTGATGCAACTTTTTT